GACTTCAGCGGCCCGGGCGGGAATTGAGGCCGGGAGCCCTCGCTTTTCCCCTCTGTTCTGAGATGATAACACAGACCCGTCACACCTGAAAGGAACATCAAAGGACGCGTGCCCGTGGGAGGTCACCAGGAAAAACGACTCAACGACAATCAACAGAAGCTCCAGCAGCGGAGCTGAGGCAGGTGCAGCTCCCATCCCACCCGGGGAACTGTGTTTTGATAAGGCCACAGCACCCGCTGCATCCCGAGAAGCGGAGCGTGCACCACGGCCACCGTTGCTCCTCCTGCCCCCCAGGAAGGTGAGAAGTGAGGAGAGGAGAACCCCAAACAACTGCTGACTCCCAGGGGACAGAGAAGAGCTGTTTAAGGTCACTATCACCTGCAGCGAGAACCCCAGAGACACGTGTGACAGCTGGCATCCCGCACTCTCTGTGTCACACACACAGTCCTGGGCAGACAACGCAGGAACATGGGCCTGAGAGCCGACAGCTGAGATCTGTGAGAGGATGTGCGAGGGGGTGAAAAGCAACTTAAGCAGTTGTTTGTAAATCAACCCCTCCATAAGACTGGCACTGAATTTTGGTACTGACAGGATCCACTGTCCCACACAATTCCTTCCCCCACCTGTTCCTTCTCAGACCCACAGCCCTTTGTCACACCCTGTGCAAACAGTTCTCTGCATCTTCACGGGGCGGAGGAGGGACGTTAGCAGTGGGTGCAGAGGAATAGGGCAGAGCGCTGGTTAGTGATGCACACATTCACAGCCACAACTTGACTGGGTTTGTAATAACCGTTACTTCTTGATCAGGTGCGCAGTCCAACACGAAAGAGAAAGTGTTGAAGCAACTGCTTTAGCATTACTGCTTCAAGTGCTGGCACTGAATTCACCTTCGGCTGCGCCCAACTATTCAGTTAACATGCACCATTTGAGTCTTTAACTGCGGAATCCACTTCACACTAGATTTCCAGATAAAACTAGAAATTGGGTGTTTTTCTGAGCATTTAATGATTTGAAAAAAAAAAATAAGCAAGCAAACAATTCTGGTAGATATGATCACTCCGCCTAAACAAGCGGAGGAACAATTTAACAGAAGCCTGAAACATACATTCATTTTTAGTATTTATTTTCCTATCACAGGAAACTACTGATTCATAGAGCTTAAAAACACATTAAAAACCCCAGCAGCCTTCATATGGATGCCAAGAGAGAAACATGGGGTGAAACAGGTAAGGAAGGAAGAGTATCTACTTCTGACCTTTGCTGGGCTCAGCACTAAACCTCCAAAAGAGAGGACAATCTGTCATTTGTGAAAAATGACTGACTTCCCCTACTAATTGTTCTATAAATAGAGTCCCGTTTTGAAAGTGCCTGTCAATGGGGGGCCAAGCAAAAGCTGCGTTACAGCGAGTGCTCATTACCTACACAACAGCTGCCAAAGCCTGACTCAGATCCAGATCACTCACATCTACTTTAAATAAAAGAAAAACACACACCACCCACAATTAAACTCCCTCCCTGCAGTAAACTGAGTTGAAAAGCTTGAAGGAAAAAAAAATAAACAGGATGGTAGGCAAGAACATAGTCTTCTGTTTTCTGATGAAACAATACATCCCACAATGTCAAACACCTTCAGGAATTACCCTCTGCTGAGTTCCACATCCCCCTGCGCATCTGAAGCGTGGGCACTGCAGCCTCCAGCCTGCAGACAGCGACCCTGCCTCAGTGTCCCACAGCTGTGGTGACAACAGCCACGACGTGTAGGGACAAAGACAACAAGTGCATTTTCCTCATGGACAAGAAACACAGACAAACACATAGAAATTACAGTAACATCTTTATTATAAAAATGCTTCTTAGGTGTCCAAAAGTTTCTGGAGTACTATGGGACCTCCCTTTGTTTCAGGTACGCTTTTCATTTCATAATCCATACTAGAATTACTTTGTTACATACAGGACAGATTTTATTTTTTCTTTAAAGTTCTAACAAAATTCTTCCTATGTTCCAGTTTAAAATGTGAGAAGTCATAGGAAAAAACCCAACAGTCAAGGCATTCAGCATTCTTATTCAGCTTCTCCTTGAAAACAACCTCTAAAAACCATGTCAGCAGCTCAGCGTACACATGATTAAAGCACACGGGAACTGAAGTTTCAAAAGAGAAAGCGCTTTAGAAAGAGCAAAAGAAATATCCTTTCTTTAGAGCACAGTGCAATTTAAAATGAGCGTGTGCCCGAATGGACAAGCAGTACTCACAAAGATAAAACACAATTTGTTCTCAGATAGAAAACCTGACTCACAGAAATGGAATGACCCATAAAACACTGTGCAAAAAAAAGTTACAGATTGAGTGTCAAGGACAAATGCTTAATTTACACTAAAAATGGGAATTACTGGCTGCACATGCAAAATGAGGTAATCAGAACTGTCCTTAGCTGGTTTGCATGTGCAAAAGGCTCGTTACTTACGTGCACGCAGATGTACTTTATACCTGAAAACTCTGCCACTGACGTTTAGATTCTTTCTTTGGAAAACACGAGCCTACTTACAAACTGCATTTACTCTCAAAGCCATGTTTATACTTCCCCAACATTCTGAATACAGCTTCACTTCAGGAATTACAGAGCCACGTAAGTTATTTAAAAGATTTATGGTTAATAAATAGCATCAGCAATTCCTCAGTAGAAGCAGATGCATGAAATAACATCCCAGGTGAGGCACTTCCTCACCTCCTTCCTTAACACCTGATTTAGGGGAAAAGTACAGAGTGTTCCTCAAGCAAAGCCCACCCAGCAGCGCACCTGAAGCTTCCTCATGAAGGGTGAGACGACTTTGGTGTGTCCAGTGCAGGTTCTGCTGCTGGCAGGTGCCCGCCTGGCACGAGCTTGCCAGGACAGCACCCAAAGGCCAGACAGGAACAGTCATTTGTAGGTCATGACCACCCTGGGATCCCTCAGACAGCACTGAGTTCACATGCTACATCTGCTCTGGCAATTAGCATCCTTAATTAGCTGACACTTAACTTTACCTGATGGTTAGTAATATGTTTAAAAGGAAGGCATCTAAAGAATTATTTAATACATGAAAGAGCACTGGAAAACTACGTGGCCAGAAACTGTAGAAGCAGAGGCTGGTGTTTTGCTGTGGACACTGCTTATGCTGGGATTAAGACTTTTTTTTTTTGTTTTGGTTAAACATTAAATTCTACCATCAGGACTTGGTCCTCTCATTTCTTTCAGGTACTTTAAAAGAGGCCCCTTTGAGGTATATGGTACACATTACACAGAAAAAAGAAAAATAAATATTTGTTACAGACAGGAAGAGCAGAGGGTTGTTATGAAAAAAATTCTTATAATATTTTTCTTTTTTTAATTAAAAAAACAAGTCACTACAGCTGTAAAGTGCAATCAGTCTAAGCTGCGTGTTTACTTAAGTTTTCTTGGAATGGCACCAGCAAGCCTAGATATGCAAACTAGTCTGTGCTGCTGGGGAGTCCAAACCTCAAGCAACGCTTACTCACAGCAGCATCCCTTCCCACAGCTGACTCCTCTGTACGATCTGGTTAGAGGATGCAACTGCTGAGTTGTATCTCCTAAACCAGTACGGGATTAGGGAAAAGATGGATCTCTGGAGAGAAAGGCTCCAGTACACAAAGTCATTCCATACTTTTCACAATGGGGACTCAAACTGATTCTTCAGCTGTGCACAGTTCAAAAAAAACCAAAACAAAACAAAAACAACCAAAAAATCCCAACCTCACCAGCACAAAAAAGACACCTAACAAGGCACTGAAGAGATTTAATCTTCTGGAATGCAAAGCTGATTTATTTGTCCCTGACTGGCTCTTACACATATTTGTATGCACAGCAAATAGGAAATATAAAATCTGTTTGGCACGTGGAAGGTATTAATCTTCATTCACATCCAAGTCTACAAAATAGACTGAGGCAAAGGCACAGCCTTCAAAGTAACCAAACAGAACTGGTGAGCACACACTTGCGTGTAAACACAACTGCTGCAAGGATTTGGCATCGATCCGATACTGCAAAGCAATTTTTTTTTATAAAGCACTTCATAGATTACGTTTTAGTAATGTCAGTTCTTACAATAGATCTGACAGACAGATATCTGATTTGAGGGGGGAGGGCCTCCCTCCTCTTCAAGAATTCCCTAGCATTTCCGCTTTCTTTTCATTGAGCACAAAGGGAGAAGGGAAGTCTTTGTTCCTCATGTACGCCTCCAGACCCTAAGAACGTGTGAGAACAGCACCGTTAGGTTGTAAATCCATCAGACTGGTTACCTGCACTATTTTTAAGTCTATGTAATGTCACTCAGAATGACTGATGACCCAAAGTTAAAAGGTCATGGGAAGGACAGACAACACCAGCAGTTTCCCCAGTAACAGAGATGGAAAGTGTTTCAGCCCCAACCTGGGGTTCATGAAGGATTCATGTCCTTTACCGATGAACCATAAAACAATGGATCTCAGAAAAAAGCTTCCTGGGGAGGGGCAGGCATGGGAAGGTGTGTCCTTAACTCATGTAAGAATAATCCTAGCAAAGAAAAGTCAACTGAAACTGCTTTGTTTTAATTTTGTTCTTACAACGCACTGATTGCGATGAGTTCGCTACCTGCACGCAGAAACCTAGTGAAGATGGAAAGTTTCATGAGCGTCCTTCCCCACAGCACCCACAGATCCCCCTGCAATCCACTATTTCTCACTCTGTCTGTCCAACACAGGGAAGCTCCTCTTCTCACTAGTAAATGGAAGCAGCTTTCCCAGGACCAATTATTTTCAGAAGGATAAACTTGAGAAATCTGTTCTAAGACCCGATTTCTCTAAAGCCAACGCACATATCGCGCTTCTCATTCAGTATTCACTCACTGTTGGTAATGGGCACAAATCAGCATACAACATACACAAATACAGTGACCCTGTGGATTTTGCAATTTGAATATTCTGCACTATTCATTCAGAAGATCTCAAAGTACTTGTGAGTCTTAATGAAACTGTGCAGCCTCACTGCAAATCTCATTTTACAGATCGCTAAAACTGAGAATGAACAAAGTGCTGAAGCATAAACCATAGTGGAACCACAAACATAATGCAGAGCCCAAGTCCTAGTTCCCTTAATCTTACCATTTCTCAGCAAGCCCAGGCTAAAGAAATCCCCATGTTTGGAAAGAAATCAGATGCATACCTGCACACTCTTAAAAATACCTCTACACATAATCATTCTCACCTCTCCAAAGTAAGACACTAATGGAGAAATCTCACACACAGCTGGAGGATCTTCAGTTCCTGAGAGACTAGAGAAAAGAACACAGGATTAACCCCTTGCTATACTTAAAAACAGAGCATCTTTCAAAGATCATTGAGAATAGGATATTCAAAAGGGTAAGACTGTTGTTATATTCACATGCACCAGACATGATTCAAACACAAAGCATGGAAATAAAAGGGAATTAGCACGTTCCAAATATTTGTCATCAAAACAAGAACATTGCTTTTATAGAAATGCCTTTCAAGTAAAATGAACAGCTTGTGTGTTTATTAAACTACAAGTTGATGAAGTAGTTGTCCCACGGAGTAAAAGCAGCTTCCCATTCAGTGTGATGCGGGAAGTATCTGAATTGGTAATTGGTATAATATTAATTGTAATTGCAGGTAATTGCTGATCCTTAAGCACACCTGAGATCCTTGCTGGGCTTTAAGCACTGGGGCCAGATTCAGAAAAGCTGGTGAGGACTACAATTTACAATTCCTTGGGCTGGATAAATCCAGCATGATGGAAAAGGTTGCCCCGCCCTAACAAGTTGCTATAGGAGGAGTCAACTCACAACCCCAAGGGTGGGAATCTCTGCCAGAGATAAAGCCCAGAGCACAGTGCATTATTGTCTGGAGCGCTCACAAGCACTAGTGGAGCAGGAGCTGTAGCAGACATTACCCTGCGTGTTCAGGAAAGATCTGCTGAATGAAAATCATGCCAAGTCACTCTGTGACTGAACTAATTCCCAGTTCTGTAGAGCACAGTACATGCTGCTAGCCAGCTGGCACAGCTGGGCAGCCACAGGCTGTGGAGAAGGTCACAGAGGTTTGTACCTGAGTTTCTCTGGTATCCTGCAACCACTTTCATCCAGAAATCTGGCCCCAGCCTTGAGAGCCCAGCGGTAATGCTGGGCCAGGAGGGCTTGCCGAGCAGTGGTAGGAGTGTCTTTGTCAGCTGTGTCTGCATTTTTTAGTGGCGAGAACTCCTCTTCTCTCAAAACTTCAAATGCCACAAAATTCCTACCAGGGCAAAGGGGAAAAAAAGATGATAATGGAAACCAAACCTAGGCATCAGCCCTGGTGGTGCAACAACTTTAATGGGGAAAGGCTCATACATATTTTGGGGAGCAGCTAAGAAGGAAAGCCCACCTCCACTCTGCAGATCAAAGGAGTACCAGGGCTGTATGATGGAAAAAAACAACAAGAACTCTGGTCTCTTTGGGAAAGTAACAGCAGCCTCACAACCCTCCAGAGCTGTGCACAGGTGAGAGGAAAAGCACAAGTTCTGCAGAGATCCCCCAGAAACCTCTCCAGGCATTAGGAAGCTTGTGGACAAAAAGCTGCAACTAAGGATGGAGAGAGAAGCGATGACTGAAGCTGGGATACAGTGCCGAGCTGTGCGGCTCACTTCAGAGCACCCCAGCCTTGCTCCAAGAAACGGCCACTCTGCTTGGGAGGCTGTAGGCAAGGATCACCTGAGGACACCACTTTCCAGGGATGAATAAGCAATATGGAAGGATTCAGAGTTGAATGTTAAGTACAGCTGTTTACCAGAAATAGAAATGAAAAATTAAAAATCCCACAGCAGCATCTGTGCATTTCTGCATTTCATGTGTGATGAGCAGCTGCCAAGCTGGTTTTGCAGTATTATTACAAAAACACAAGGAACTACTGCTTGCAAATGAGTCCTGTCAAAGCTCAGAACGCAGCACTGTTTCCATCACGCTGGTTTTGCCTTTGGTATGATACTTTACTGAACACGTGTCAAGAAATTTAGGTTTCTGCTCTGGCCGGGGGATTGGACTGGATGATCTTTCAAGGTCCCTTCCAATCCCTGACATTCTGTGATTCTGTGAAACAGAGACCAGTTCAAACCTTGAGGTCTCTATCCTAAAGTAAATCCTCTAAAAAGAAAAATACCATCTCCAAACAAAGATAATTCAGTTTGCCTGAGGTCTCTTTTTGCCATTTATTTAAGCCTAAAACAGAATCTTTACTGCTGAATTCTAGACCTCAGAAAGTAAGTTTTATAAGAACACTTATGCTAAATTCCTAAATTATTAAAATTCCACATTCCCTAAACTCAAAGTACCCCTGACTGCGCTCTCAGTTATGTTTTAGAGCTTGGCAAGTGAACGCTGACAGTTCCCACAGCAACAGTAACTTGGCCCCACAGTGCTTAAGCAACCTGTATTCTGAGCACAAAGGGTGTGAGCTGAGCCCTGGGTAACACGCACGGAAAATGTAACCAGAGCTGCTGTTGCCATGGAGGACACAAACCTGAAAGACACGATTTTTGTGAGTTGGAATACTCCAACATGGGATTGAATTAAATGTTGGTTTTGTGCTTGATTTCCCTTTTTTCTGTCTCTCACAGGCCTTGCAGAGGCTGGGTGTCCTCGGTGGAATGAACAGTCCTGGGAGCACGCACGGTCAGAGCAAGCCTGGCTGCTGCCAAGCGCCCTGTACCCGCGCCTCTGAGAGCCTGCAGCATTGCTGTTGTGCTGGAGCTTGGTGTAGATCCAACAACCTTTCTAACAAGCCACCCACAAACCACGCGCTCCCTGGCAAGGCCTGTTACAACCTACAGTCATTCAAACAAACATTGAGAAGGGGAGGAAAAAAAATAAAATAATGTCTGCCACTAACTTAGAGAACTGGAACACATCAAACACAAACTTCTCCAGCTTTATCCCGTTCGGTTTTAGCGGTTTTACCAGATTTCCCTCCTCGTCAATGTAGGGCACCTTCTTTATGGCTACGTGATGCCTCAGCTGCGGCTCATATTTCCTGCAAAAGGAGAAGAAACAAATTAATTTACTTCATGCCCACTTAGGAAAAAGTAGTACACTTCTGGGAAGCAGATGGCATATTACTGCTCTGGGTCATCTCTCAATGGTTGCAGGTGTTGCTCTCTCCAAATTGATCCAAGTTACATCCAGGAAACACTTCACTGAGCAGAGCAGCCCGGCCAGTGCTACTCCCTGCACCAGTGGGACATGACAGGGTAAAGCATGGGAGGGAGGACCTAGTATCCAGCTGACACTGCGGGCAGAGATAAAAAAGGTGACCCAAATTGTTACCTGACTGGGATGACAATGGAGCAGAGCAGATCCCTCACACAAGGATGGATCAAGCTCTTCAGGAAGGTCACAAGGCTGCTCACTGAATGCCCCCATCTCCCAACACCAAGATGCAGAGTCCTTTCCCTGTCTTTGTTGTCCCAAGTGATGGCATCGGTGACATTCCCATTGAAAATCCTCAGTGGGGGGCTGCATCACTGACCACACTGCAGCCCACATGGCTGCTCAGCATTGCAGGCCCAGGAAGGTCATGCACTGGTATATCTTGGTCGATTTAGCTACAGCAAAGTGTGGAACCTCTTCCTTGGGTACGGCCTGAAGAGCGCACTGGGGCTGGCAGAAAGTGGGCACAGCTGTTTGAGCTGTTTGGAGGACAGAGGAGAAGAGCAGAGCAGAAGGTACCCGTAACTGAAATTACAGTGGAAAATGGGCACACCCGCTCTTGGAGGCATTTCTGGGCTGCACAGCTGCCTAACAGGTCTGCTGGAACTTACTGGGCCACTGTCTCCAGGAACTCAACTGTGAAGAAATGGTTGCAGATATTGCCAGTGCTGTACATCAGTCCCCCATCCGGGCTCTGCTGCTGCGCGGTCTCCAGGCTGATCTCACTGTACTCCACCACCTGGTAGACCCCATCCACACAGCACACCACCCCAACAGGCTCTGTGGGGTAGGCCTTCTCCACCACCTGCAGCCACAGGACAGAGGGCTATGACAAGGAGGAAGAAAATCCCCGCACTGTTCCAACTCCCACGTACAAATGAGCCTACAGGACCACTGCACATCGATCCTCCATCACCTCAGGAGCATGGGCAGGGCAGTGCTGGGTGTATGGAGTAGGCTGGAGGCACATTTCGCCCAACAACTGGGCAGAAAACCCAGTACTTGACCGCTTAATTGCAGAGTTGCTCAGAAGACAAACCAGTTAAAAGAAATTGGCACATTGTGGGGCACTTTCTTATCAAGGACTAGGATCTGGCATTAAATGGAAAATGTTTGCAGCTGTTAGCCTTCTGCTCCCTGTTTGCATGAACAGTGTTAATAATTAAAGGAATATAAATCCCTCCTCAGGCACCTGCTGCTTTAAGTGACAAAACCAGGCTGGTTTGGCTTTCCACAACTTCCACAGTCACACATACAGAATGAATCACAGAATCATTAAGGTTGGAAAAGTCCTCCAAGATCATCACATCCAACCATCAACCCAACACCACCATGCCCACTAAACCATGTCCTGAAGTGCCATGGCTACATGCTGTTTGAACATCTCCAGGAATGGTGACTCCAACACTTCCCTGGGCAGCCTGTTCCAATGCTTGACCACTCTTTCAGGAAATAAATTTTTCCTAATATCCAATCTAAACCTCCCCTGGCGCAACCTGAGGTCATTTCCTCTCATCCTATCACTGGTTAATTGAGAGACCAGCCCCCACCTCTCTCCACCCTCCTTTCAGGGACTTGGACAGAGCCAGAAGGTCTCCCCTCAGCCTCCTTTTCTCCAGGCTCAACAACCCCAGTTCCCTCAGCCGGGAACTCAGCACACTTGTGCTCCAGACCCTTCCCCAGCTCCGTTGTCCTTCTCTGGACACGCTCCAGCATGCCTTCCTTAGACTTAAAGGTGCATTTATAAAACACAACCCAGTCCAATACGGCTTCTAGACAGCTGTGGAGTAATTACAGCTTTGTGGAAAGGGCAGGGCATAAGGAGGAAGCCATTCCAGTTTGTAGTTTTCTGTGCAGTTACAGTCCCAGCTCTAGTTTATTTTCCACAGTATTCTGGGAAAGGCAGGAGGAGGAGCGGAGGAGGAAG